TAATGATGATGGTGACAATGTGACGGTGGTATTGAGATGACATAATTGTGGTGATGCCGCTGCTGAAAATGATGAAAATGACGATACTACAGTTCATGACGACCACTAATACTATGATGAAAAAAATATGACGATGATAATAATTATGATGATATATTGTGGCTAATAATAATAAACACAATAAACATAAATGTAAACATAAACAAAAACATGATGATGATGGTGATGATTATGATGATGATGGTGGTGGTGGTGATGGTGATGATGATTATGATGGTGGTGATGATGGCAATGATGATGATGGTGATGGAGAAGATGATAATGATGATGGTGATGATGATGGTGACAATAATGAAAATAATTATGAAACTGCCATTACAGTTATTGTATTTTTATTACAATAATAATAAAAAATAAATTAACAATAACTCCATAAATAACATAAACTCAATATGCTTCTAACAGGAGGAAAACCAATGATGATAAAATGAAACTGACCGCGATTATGCAAATGAAGATGGCAATTTAGACAAGATAAGAATGAAAATTAATATCTTCACAATAAATCACTTGTATTGTGAAGATATTCATTCTCAATCATATCTTTTCTACATTTGTCAACATAAATACGGTTTAAGATGGCAATTGTTACAATTAACTGCTTACAACGGGAACAATGATGATATTGTGATGATGATGACGATGATGGTGATGATTGTGGTGATGGCAAGAATGTTGATGGTGAATATAATAATAATGATAACCATAATAACAACAGCAATATAAAAGAAGTAGTAATAATAATAATAATAATAATAACGATAATAATGATAATATAGTAATAATGATAATGACGATAATAATAATAGAAATAATAATAACAATAATAATAATAATAATAATAATAATAATGATAATAATAATAATCAATAATAGTAGTAGTAATATTTATAATTTAATAATTAATAATGGTAGTCGTAATAATAATCATTATTATTCTACTACTACTAATGATAATAATAATATTAACAAAAATAATAATAATAATAGGAAAAACAATATATTACAATAGCAATAACCGTATCGAGAATAATGAAGATAAAATTCAAGCACAAACAATGAATAATAATGATAATTACAACAATATACATAATAATAATAATAATAATAATAATAATAAGCACAATAATAATAATAATGATAATAATAATAATAATAATAATAATAATAATAAATAATAAAACAGATAATAATAACAACAATAACAATCAAAATAACTAACTACGATGATGACAAAAAAGTCACATATTTCCATAGCATCTGTCCCTATCGTCGCCGTATCTAAGCTCGGTGCCCCAAACGACAAAGATTATACTCACCGTTCGCGTAAGAGTGCGTGTTATGGCAGCATCGCAGGCTGACTGACTGCATCTACAGTATGTGAAAAGTATTATTGTCTCTGCTATCGAAATCCGGCCTGTTAGGGACAGTTAGGGGTTGGTGATAATCGGGGAGAAAGCGAGAGGGTGGTTAGGTGTTTCAATACAGGCGTTGCAAGCTATGTGAGTCTCGGAGGGATCTCTCTCTCTCTCTTTACACACTCACACACACACTCACACACACACACACACACACACACACACACATACACACACACACATGCACACATGTATGTATGTATACAAACACACACACACACACACACACACACACACACACACACACACACACACACACACACACACACACACACACACACACATGTATGTATGTATACAAACACACACACACACACACACACACACACACACACACACACACACACACACACACACACACACGCACACACACACACACACACACACACACACACATACATATGCATACATACATACATATATATATACATATGTATATATATACATGTATGTATATATACATATGTATATTGTAACTGTTAGTGATAAAGAATTAGGTCAGTAGGCCGCAGTGATGGCAAAGCAGTTATTCTTATTCAAGGGACAATATCGGTTCTAAAGCAACAAGGAAGCGACTGTACCAGGTATTTTATTACTAAGATCTCGAGGATTAATCGTTTTAGATAAATGCGGAAAGTTAAAGCCCAGAGTTGAAAAAATAACTTTTCAATTTCTTATTCGGGAATATAGAACATGCAAAGAATCTGTTGTTGAAAAAAAAATCTGAACTGGACGTAAAAATTAACGAGTGAAACAAATGGATTTAAGGGAGGAACCTCTTTTCCAAGAGACCCCATTGAGATGATGTGTTAGAGGGAGAGTAAAGTGCATTTGAAAAAGCGGGCACACCTCTGAAACGAAGTGTGTCAGATATTTAATAGAACGAATTGCATATTAGCGCGAGGGAGGTTGTTTGAAAGCGCGAGAACTTCACTAGTTTTAGAAAGCCAAGGAGCAGCAGAAGAGCTCAGCGGAGGCAAGAGGCCGATGGACAAGAAAGATGAAGATTTGGCAGGACTTAG